ATGACCTGTTCATATTGCTTTATGTATGTTGACAGTTTAGTTACCCAACATTTCATGACTGAGCACAGGGCAACACAATGCTGCTGCGTGGAAGAACTGCAGCTAATGCAAGCATATCTTTTTAGCTGCATTTGTAAACAATAACTGGCAGAAGTGAAAATAAGTCTTGACCCAGGTATCCACCTGCTAACACTAAACTCCCCCAAATACTGACTGTTTTCACTAGAGGGTAAGGCTTTGTTTGTAGCACCCACTTTGGACGTTGTCGCTCCATTCATTTGACGCTATTGAATCCCTGCAGAGCCTAAACTGTAGCATAAAATTGAGCCTGTTGGACTTAGACAATAATTACTTTTACTTTTCAGAGCCAGCTAAGTCTAAACACAGATTACAATTACAGCCTAAAACACTTTGTTTAATGCTAAATGTTACAGGCTGTATTTGGTATTAATCTATTTGCCTGCATATTACTTTTGTCATGGTCCGGGTCTAGTGACTCCGTATTTATGTTGTGTTTATTAATATTCATTGATTTAGTGAGTTTTCTGGGTACTTTTTAATTATTTCTAGGATTTAGGTGTTTCTGTGCCTCCCTTGTGTCCTTCTTGTCATCCTTGTCTCCACATTCGTGTGTTTCCTGTTTTACTTTGACAGTCTGTGTCCGGTGTTTTGCTTGCTCCCTGTCTCGTCTTGTCTGATTAGTCTCAGCTGTGTTCCCTGCCTAGTGTGTGCTTCCTTCTGTTCCTTGTTGAATTGTCTGTGTTACCTCTGTTGGCCAAACAAACTTATTCACAAGAAAGTGAAGATGGTAGCAAGAGATCAACAGAGAGATTGGTGCTGTGTCTGGGTGAAAAGGTTATACCAATCACTAATAGTGATGAATGAGTCGAGTGTGACAAAAAAAACTGTCAATTTACTGTTTGAGCTTCTCTCACCTGTGGGCATGAGCTGTGAGTAGTGACAGAAAGAATACGATTACTTATATGAGCATGAGAAATTAAATGAGCTTCGCCCCGAAGGGTATCTGAGCTTTCCCTTTATAGGGTGAAGAGTTCACTGGGTCTCAGAGTAGAGCCCCTACTCCTCCACAAGGAGCAATTTGTGCTGGTTCAAGGAGTATCACTCCTAGGTGATGGATTTTGGCAATATCCAAGTGGAAGGAGACCCTGGGATGGACCCAGGATATAATGGAGATTTTACAAGAAACCCCTCAATATCTTCCCAGAAGAGCTGGAGGAGGTCTGCTTAGTGTGCTGCCCATGTAACACAGACCAGAATAAGCAACAGAAAATGGATTGATGGAGCCCATACTAAATGTTTTCCACTGAGTCACCATTTCAGCATTAGTCATGCTAGAAAGAACTCCTTGCAAAACAGAATCTCCAACATCAATAAGTTACCAAGCATAGCTGCAAAGAAGGTGTACCGTTTTTCGTAAATAGGGGTAGATTTAGGCTGTTGCACTAACTTAAGCATGCAAGTCCTACCAAACTGTTGTCTGCTTGCCTTAGCTCTCAGTTATGCAAGTTCAGACATGCAAAACACAGAAAAAACAAATACAGAGCCACTAAAAGAATCTTCAGACACACTAATCGTCTCTACCCACACAGGCAATCTGGGAGGATTACATTATACAGTCTGACCTCACTCACAACCAGAATGGGACCCAAGTTGTGCAACCCGATGGGGACTTCCTGCCAGCAGGTCTGTACAATCCAGCTGTGGCGGGAATGTAACCCTTAGATATGTAAACTAGTGATTAAAAATGCTATAATGGGAAACGGATGTCCACACTACAGCTGTGGTACATGGCTGATTACTTTTTCAAATATACAGGGTCAGGAAATCTGCCCTGGAAATGTTTCCGTAACAACTTAAAGTTATGTTTCCACTTCACATATTAATCAATAACTTGTCTCCATAATATGGAGTTGTTTAGTCTAATACATTCTGCTCTCTTGGTCTCTGTTTACAATTAACTGCGCCGATTGGTATCAAGAATCCGCTGTCTCAGTGTAAAAAAAAAAAATGCCGCTATTGCTGAGCTCAGTAAATTTTCAGCTACAGTAAAGGAACATCTTACACAACACTGTGAATCTGTTGAATTCAAACCATCTTAAATCGACAGAAGGTGCGAAACACAGAGATTTAACTTTGCTGAAATGATGTTTAAACAGGAAGTGGGAGCCAAACATCCTAAGAGATATACAAGGCTAAAAATGTGACTAGTTACATGACTGATGATGCATGATGATCCAGTTAAGTCATCCTGACCTGTTAAACCTTTCTTTGTTTGAGGCTCTTGATTACTTTTTATAAATTCATCTCTCAAGTGGCATTTCATCTACCAAAGGTCCCTGACGTCATTCGGCTCCATCACCAGTCTTCTTACATAAACCTAAAGGCCAGTGCAGCGGAGAAACTTAAATCCTTCTCAAAGACCAGAGCTCTTTAGCTTTTTCTCGGCTGAGATGATGCACGACTGAATGCCCAATCGACATCCGACGCTGATGTCAAATGGCCTGAGGAACTGCAGTCAATGAATGGAGTGGCTTTTATTCCTGAGTAGTTGTTTTCTGTACATCTATGTGAGGGGTTTGTCTTTTCATTCCTCTCTGACTTGCGCACATAGGAAGGATCAGACTCTAGGCTACACTGCCTTACTCAGATGGAGGAGTTGCATAAGAAGTGAGTGCTGGACTGAATCTGGGTTAATCCTACTCCCGCTTCACCGAAGTGACAGTGCAAAGTCAGAGATAAGAAATGAGATCTTCTTATATGCACAGGAATCAAATCTCACACCTGATCTCATAACAGCAAAGGTGTGCTTCCTGTAAATCCTTGACGTAACCTTGAAATCATCATTGATAATATCAACTAGATGTGCAAAGACAAAAAAACCCCTGAGTATTAAAAGTCTGTTTGATATTTAATTACCGAAGGTTTGCACATATCTTGGTTTAGTTTCTTTGTAAGGGTAATTTTAATGATCAGGAATAATAAACAAAGGTTACATTAGACAATAAATAGGAAGTTCACTTATTGGACTGCCTCCTCCAGTTTGCATGTTAAGAGTGTCCTTGGGCAACATATCAAAATACCCCCAAAACTGCCCACTAATGTGTCACTGGTGTGTGCAAAATGAAAATATATATTTACACAATAGAAGAATTGTGTAAATGTGTGTGAATGGGTGAATTTCAGCCAGAAATGAAGGTAGAAGAGCACTATGTATAAATGCAGGCTGTATACTATAAATATATTACGGAGAACATGCTGAACTTGCCAATTTCAAAAGCTATAAAAACACTGTTTTCTTGGTGATTTTAACTCCAGTATCCTTACAGTTACGGTAAATTCCCCACTTTCATATTTATTTGATATTTAGTGCAGTCAAGTGCAGCTTTTAATGTCTACTTTGAAGCAGAAGTTATTTTTGATGCAGGTTGATAACACTTGCGTCATCACAGCTTATTATAGCTCAGCATCACCTAACTGGCTCCCAAAGGTTAAGTGGACTGTTGCATTAGGAAGTTTAGGGAGGTGAGGAATGGCACAGGGGAGAGGAGGAAGGCAGGAGAGTTTTTATTCCAGAGTTGTTTTTCTATAGGAAACATTTGTTGAAGAAGCTTCTTGCACATGGCATTTTAATATAATATCATATATCATATTATTAAGATAAAAAAATACAAGCATGCATTGTTTTCTTTGAATACAAAACTACCGCTGCATACGATCGCCAAAGGCCAGTGTTACTGGAGCAACACAGCCATTTACCATTACCCACATGTAATTTCTATCTTCTTTGTTGTATGATGGACTTATCATATCTGGAACAGCATAAGCATGAACCTTCTGTCACTGATGTCAGCATTATAAACTTATGATGTAAGTAATTTAGTCTTAAGACCTGGATCTGTTTATTGTGAATGACAAAAGGATAATATAAAGCATTTCTTGAACACAAACTTTCTCTTGCTAGGAAGTCTAACATGGACATCCAATTGATGTTCAAAGCATGCACACTATACAGCAAGGTTAAATCTGGGACATCGGCATAAATTTCATCAGTTACTGTGCCAGCTGATGGTTATTCAACATCAAAATGTTGGCTGGGATAATATGTGTTTATCACTGTTAGGTACCTCATTTTATTCCACACTGTGGTTTGTTCTGTAGCGATAATTATGTAAAGTAAATATTTGTGACCGTACGGTGACTGATTAAAGAACGAGCTGAAGTAAATCATTAAATGCTTCTACAATTCTGGAATGTCTGTTATCCAGAGCTTACTAAACATAGTAGTTCAGTGCAATGCAAAACAGTTAAACATTTAACAGCTGTGTGATCCATATCTGTGAAATACTGGCCATATTAACTGATGAGGTTAGAAAGTCCGTCTTCTATTAATTATGCAAGTAAAAGTCTCATAGAGATTAAAATCTCTTTTCCAGGAGAGACCTGACCAAGAGGGCAGCAGACAGTCTAACAAAACGAACACATACATATAACAGCTAAAGAAAAAATTACAATTGGTGTTCAATACAGACAAGTGAACACAAACAAGATTAAAAGTAGTCACACTAATGTGAATTGAGAGTGTAGCCCGCAGTGACTGTGGTTTGTACACATGCAGATGTACAGATAAGAAGAAACAATCCTAAGCAGAGATACACAGAACAGTGATGTGCACAGTTTTTACAGCCAATAATAAAACGTAACGCACAATGATAGAAAGTTTCCAACCTCTTTAGTAGCTGGTCTGGTGAATTCATAGACAGCAGATCACTGTAATCCAGGGGTGTCCAACTCCAGGCCTCAAGGTTTGGTGTCCTGCAGGTTTTAGATCTCACCCTGGGTCCACACACCTGAATCAAATGATTAGTTCATTATCAGGCCTCTGGAGAACCACAAGACATGTTGAGGAGGTAAATTAGCCATTTAAACCAGCTGTGTTGGATCAAGGACGCATCTAAAACCTGCAGGACACCGGCCCTTGAGGCCTGGAGTTGGACACCCCTGCTGTAATCCAATGAAGGTAAACAAATTTTATTAATATTTATTATTATTTTATTTAATAACTGTACAGTACTCTGTTTACGGTAATCATTGTCCTTAATGTAAATATTAGGGGTGCAACGATACACAAAATTCACGGTTCGGTTCGGTTCGATACTTTGGTGTCACGGTTCGATATTTTTTCGATACAAAAAAATGTTCATGCATTTTTAATTTGTCATTTATTAAAATTATAAATATATATTTTAACTCAAAAGTACAGTTTTTAAATTTAACCCTAACCCTTGTGCGCGTTTTTTATTTTGACAGCGAATGCGCACCTGCGGACCACTTATGTGCAGCCCTGGTTATTTAGCTCATCATATTGCAGCCACAGAAATTCTTTTGTCCATGAAACCATAAAGCTGCACTTTCTTTTTGCCTTATAGTCTGATTTGTCATAACTTCTCCGTTTTGTGGTAAGCTTTTCTTTGGCTGTCACTTCTTCACCCTGACCTGTCTTATTTGGCTCAGCAGAACTGAAATGCTTTTACACATGCACTCACATAAGCTCAGCGATTCTCTGCGCGATCAACCTCTCACATGTTTAAGCTGCGGGAGATTTCACTTGTCATGTTTGCATAGTAAGCTAACGATTGATAAGACAATGTCAGAGGAATTGGTGCACAAATTATCATCACTCACAGATCAGTGCTGTCGCTCTCTATACACAGTTCGCACGATTGCAAAGTGAAAGCAAAAAAACAAGCGCAAATTCAAACGCGATTTCAATATGTCACATATTGACAGTGGCTCACCGATGCCAATGACATAATTACCCAGCTACATTTCTGAAAGAATGCAAAAGCATTGACATATATTTTTCCTACAATAGCCCGACGGGCAGGGAAGAGATAGATTTTGGTAGCGCGACTGAAAAAATCGCTAGCTCCGGGACGTCGGGCTAGCGATATTGCAAGCCCTGTATCTGATTGAGGAATCACTCATCTTTGGAAAAGAGAGTTTATTACAGAGAAATGGCTCTTTCCAAAATAAAAGCTATACTATCCGCTTCTTCTGGGCTATATTCTCAGCAGCATAAGGAGAATCATGTGCTAACAGCTGTCTAAATGACTCGGCTAAAGTTAGTAGCATGCTTGTTGTTTTTGTCTTTGCACTAGGATGATGTCGGTGTAAATGTGCAGTCATATTCGTTGTGTTCCCACTAGTGCTTTCAGGTTAATCTCGTTGAAATGACCTTAACGCCACAACACGGCAAATCTCCGTTAACGAGCTACCGCCGATTGCTCCGTGCATGGGGCTAGACGGCCAACACGTTAACGAGCTAACTGCGCTAACACACTAGTTCACACCAATGTAATTGAGCATTGCATGGCACATCCAACATACTGTTTTACTTTAGTCCATGACTCGCTTACCTTCAGGGTCATACGTCACATGAAAACCAAAATAATTCCAAACGCCAGATCTGAATGAGGTTCAATTTGCCTGTTGCAAGCAGAGCTTAACTTCTGTCTCGCTAGCTTGCCCTGCGCTCTTCCTTCTGACTATGCTGTCTGTGTTGAGCGCTCAGTGGATCTGCGCTGGACAGTGCAGCCTAGGCGGAGTAGTCGAACACAGATTCACTGAGCGCTCAACACAGACAGCATCGTCAGAAGGAAAATTGATAAAATAAATTACAAATGTTGTATTGTTCGATACATATGCGTACCGAACCGAAAGCACTGTATCGAACGGTTCAATATCGATACGAATATCGTTGCACCCCTAGTAAATATGTAAGAAAAAAATTGTGTATGTTTCTGTTCTGTGTCCTGTGTACTGTTTGTTTGTATATGTGTCTTTCTGGCTGCTGTTACAACCAAATTTCCCCTTGTGGGACAATTAAAGGATTATTCTATTCTATTATTCTATTCAAATTGCAGAGATGAAGTATTTCCTAACTCAGAGAGAGAAACAACATTTATTCTTTAAGTTGAAACTTTAAGCCTTTCAGGTGAAATTTTAAAAGATACATTTGGATTATAGATACTTATAATATGTAACCATTTAAATGGTTTGGATTTTTTGTCATTTGAGGATAACATGAACCTGGATTTGCATTTAAGTTGAAAAGTAAACATCATCAAAGGCAGATTGCAGAAATTTGAGGGTTTGTACTACTGAAGGTGGCGAACAGTAGATAAATGTGTCATCTGCATAAAAATGGGAAGCAGCATTTGATAAATTATCACAAAGGTTGATTATATAGACAGAAGACCAGTGGTCCTAACATGGAGCCCTGGGGAACTTATTTGGATACGGAGAAAAAGAGAAAGAAGACCTGGAGAAGTTGACACATTGTGTTCTAGATGACAATTAATTTGAAAACCAACTTACAGCATTCACAGACAAAACAATATTGTTTACTCTGTTTACCAAAATAACCATGGTCAACTGTTTCCAAAACCTCGACAAATTAAGAGACGGAGTTAAACATTTGCCATCATCATATATAGTGGTTCAACACTTTAATATCAGCAGTTATTGTAATAAACTAATAAACAGAGCTTAACACCAAATGGGTCTACTGGAACGTTTGTTGAGTATTTATTACATACTTAACATTTTAATTAAACCATTCCTAATATTGTTCCTAATATTGTTTAATTAAAATGAGCTTTAGTTACACTTTATTGCTATATGCTGTTTTCAATAAATTATTTTCTGTCAGCGGGCAGTATGTTACCTAATAATTTGATTTCACTCATCAGTGTCATTCGATTGGAGTGCCTGCTGCTCCCATAATTGGAAATTGCCTCAAAGCACTGATGTGGACTGATGCACATATCGACGGCATGTAATTGGCTCCCTGTGAGGCTGGACAAGACCGACGCTGTGAGTTTCATGGTCTGTGTGTTGTCAGGATTGGCCAGAAATGGAAAAGAAAACGAAGGAGAAATGGACTAAATGGAAAACAGCATCAGAACAGAGGGAAATCACAGACTGAATGTCTGCGTTTGGCATGTTGTTAGGAATCTAGCAAGGTTTGGAGTGAAATCTTAATTATTTGATCTCCTCTTTTCCTGGTTTTCTCCATGCATCAACCTGTCCATTTTAATCCTGCGTGCAGTCTTTTAATGGAAAATTTTAACAGGAGATTGAAGCCAACGACTTTCTGCTACATCATGCAGGATTATTCATTTTCTGAACTTCAGACGTCATACAATGCCAGATGGAAAATTGAGATAGAATAAGAATAGCAAAGCCTCTCAGTTGCCACCTGCACACTTCATCAGCAGGTAGCAGCGTTTGTTCTCTGTATTTGTTTTCTGTTATAAACCTGTGTATTGCCTGTAAGAAGGACAGTAATCGTTAGTAATTCTTTCTGGTGTCTGCAGTGCAGTCCCCTCTTAAATACACATAAAGATATAGATTCATAGAGCAAACTAAATCAGGTTACAGACGTGTTCAGTTTCACTTCAATTCATTTGTTGGGCTCAGGTTAATTCAAAATTTATGAAATCTAAATTCATACGACTTGGGGACTCTGGATGTTTCAGTTACATCAAGTTATGTTTACCTGTTTCAATTCAGTTTTATTTATACAACCCCAAATCGCCTCAAGGTGCTTTATTTTGTAAGGTAGACCCTACAACAATGCATACAGAGAAGAACACAACAATCGTGTGACCCCCCTATGGGAAAGCAATTTGGCAACAGTGGGAAGGAAAAACTCCCTTTTAACAGGAAGAAACTTTCAGCAGAACCAGGCTCAGGAAGGGGCGGCCGTCTGCCTCGACTGGTTGGGGTGTGAGAAGGAAGACGGGACAAAAGACATGCTGTGGAAGAGAGACAGAGGTCAGCAACAAGTATGCAGAGAGTTCTGTAACACATAGTGAATGAGAAAGGTAACTGAAGAAGAAATACCCAATGCGTCATGGGAATCTCCCAGCAGCCTACACTTGTTGCAGCATAACTAGCACTAAGCAGCTCTGATCAAGGAGCAAAACATTTCTGAGTGTTACTATTTAGTTTTAGTTTCACCTTTTATTAATATTTTTTATCACCTACACTTACTTTGGACTCTCCTCTTTGCTTTAAACACAGCTCAGATTAAGAATTACTGACTTATACTGCCTTCTAGTAACTTTGTTCATGATTAGACAAGCTTAGCTGTTGACCTGATAATCAATAAAAACCTCCACTGTTTCTAAAAAAACCCAAATCTGTCCTAGATTGTATTAGTTTGAAAAGCTGAGGTGAATCAATTCTCAGTCAATCTGTGATTCTGGGAGAAAGGCTAGCCCATTCATCGAGATGAAACCAGCAGCAGAAACCAGTTTTCTGGACAAATCCCCGTTCTGAACTGGGGCAGGATTTATGTGATTACATGCGTGATACAATGGCTCACTGTTCATATTGTGTTACTTACACCAGAACACCACAGACTGCAGAGGGCTACAAACTACATCATCCAGTCTATTTTCTATAAATGGTTTGCATGGATTATGATGGGACTGAGGGACATTAAAGGGACATGATTGAACTGTAACTTCCAAACAGTGAATGTTAAATTAAAACCAAGTGAGCCAGAAAAAAATGAAGCGCAAGCAAAACATGCAGTTCCACTTGTGGCCACTTGAGGCTAGCTCCATAGGTGAGCCAATCCCCACAGACGTATGGCAGACGGCTGCCCCTCCCTAAACCTTGTTCTGCCAAATGTTTCTTCTTTATAAAAGGGAATTTTTCCTTCCCGCTGTCGCCAAACCACTTTCTCAATCTGATTGTTTTGATTTTCTGTTTCCTCTGTATTATTGCAGAGATAAAGCGCCTCGAGGCAAATGTTGTTGTGTTTTGGCAGTGTATAAATTCATTTGAGGAGAACTCCTATGATAAAATCAACTTAACAGCATTACAAAACATAGAGCTTGGTACAAAAACAGCTTTGGGCTCTACCCAGACATAAACTTTATTTTGGCAGTTTCCCAGGTGTACTAATCCCTGCCAAAGTATATCTTGCGATTTATTTTTATTCTTTAATCATTCTGAGCCAACAACATGATTTATTTAAAAATAAGAAGTCCCGTCACTCTGTTTTGCTTTGCCTTCCTGCCTCATGTTTCCCTACAGTCTGGTCAAGTTGCTGTTGTCACTCAGATGTCTTGAGTCCCACGGTCGGATAGACTCTCATTCCTCCTTCTTGGATTGCAGAAGACAGCGGTAGCCTCTGTTCTGCTCTGGTGATCCTCTACAGCTCCTGCAGAGTCTGGTTAGAGATGACCTTCAGCTTGTAGCATTTGAGCCACTATGCTGTAGCTCAGTGAGGCTGTAGAAATATCAGCTGCAGTTCAAGACTGGCGTTAAAGTCCATCCTCAGGATGAGGAATTATGCTGATGATGGATTGTTGCTGATCTATCATTCTGCCCATTGAAAAATATTTATATCAAGTATTTTTTCCAGTGAGTGCTGGTGTTTATTTATTTTTCTCTATATTCTCTGAGACCCAACACTCTGTTTTGGACCAGAGCACACTATTATTCTGTATTTATTGTATGGGTGCTGTATTGATTGACAGGTATCCAGCTAAAGGGAACTGAAAGCCAGCCTGTGTGTGTCTTAGCTAATTAGCCATTAATTTGCACACTTTATGGAAGGAAGGAGCATGCTAGTATCAGTTGATACATTTGTACTTCCCATTTTGTTCTTCAAATTTAGTAACTTCTAGCTTTAAAAAGTCAACATGGTGAGAACTTCAAAATGCCCTGTCCAAAAAATAAGTCATACTAGCACTAGCATACTGTGTCCATGTGTAACATGCAGTGATTATATGAGTAAAACTTAGGTTTATGTGATCCAGACTCCATCAATGCCCACAAAAGGTCATTAAGTTGCTTCTTGATGACGAGCTGATGGATCTGACCACTTGTGGGCGGCCTGTCAGATGCAGTCTGGATGTTCTCTGAGATGTGAGAGATTGTGATTCACCGGATGGAGATGAGCTTAGTATTTCTCTCTCGCCATTAAAATTCGGTGTCAGTGAGGCATGACCGTGATGTTCCAAGACACTCGGGACCACTGAGTGTGGGCTGAAGGCACGATTTAAGCTGGTTTTCAATGACTCCCCTGGTTCAGGCATGAAATGGAAGATAAACCTCCTTAAATTCATATTATTCAGCTTTTGAACCTGTCATAAATCATTACTACGTTGTCGTGGGCATGCCATGGTTCTTATTTATGTCTTTATGGGAAGAGAAGACCTGGGGACAGAGTACTGCATGCCTGTCTAACTTCAGTTTTCTAAGCACATCAGGCCAGAATGACCCTAACTGCTGTGGTCAGATGGTGATAAAGAGCAGTAGGCCTTTTTTTCATGACTTTGCATCTGAGTCAAGGATTTTACACAAATAGCAAACTGATACCTTTTTTTTGCTAACTATGAATATGCATTTAACATTACATCAGGATGTGTCCAAATCACTTCATTTAAATTTGTGAAGTTCTGGAAATGGGCCTATACAAATAACCTTACCGCTTAAATTTGGCTTATCACCGTGTAAAAATAATCTTGTCTCTTTTGAATCTGCATCCTTCTTAAATCTTTCAGTAGAAGCCACATTATGCTTTCTGTTTCACTGCGTCAGAGTGATGTTTCTTCAAAGTGATTTTCATTTCACAGAAGGGGAACAGAAGTTGCAGGGAGCTAAATCTTTAAAATGATCCAGGTCATGAGGAAAAACTGGGTTGGTATGGCCAAAATATTCCAGCATTGACAGTCTCACCTTTGAGGAAGAATTCACACTGGATGAGCTCATGAATGTTGACAAAAAAACCAAACAAAAACACTAACAAACATTCACCTAGTCTTGCTCTTTACCTAATACACATCCTTCCTCATAGCCAGACACTCAGCATTCATCAGCAGTGAAAATCCTTGATGCGAAATTTGGGTCGAGATGATGCTATCTCTCCTCAAGTTTGGGGTTTCTGGTAAAATTGCAGAATGAAGATTGCAAGTGGTCATAACTGGACTTGAAGAGAGTGATCTAAAAACAGGGGCTATGCTCGACGCTACCCAAGAAGAGAACCTTGAGGGGAGATTGTCCGAATTTAAATCAGATAAGGCTAACTAGTGTCCAAAAACAAGTCTAAGCACTGATATGGAATATGTTAAAAAGAAAAAAGAAATCAAAATCTGGGTATGGTAATGTGGTAATATGACATCACAGATTTCTTGTGAATTCCTCTTTTAATAATTTTGTCATGATTCGCAGGTACTACACAGAATGACCTAAAGAATATACCAGGAGAGTTTATAAGATTACATCTAAAGCCTAGATTATACTTTGTTGAGTACACGGATGCAGGCAGCACAGTCTCTAACCATTTGGTGACAAAATTTACATCACTGGGACCAATGCAGGCCCAAGTGCAGCGGTCCCCAACCCCCAGGCCACCAGTGTTGGTCAAGTTACTTGAAAAAAGTAATCAGTAACTAATTACTGATTACCACCACAAAAAAGTAATCCCTTTACTTTACTGATTACTTATTTTCAAAAGTAATTAGTTACTTACTTAGTTTCTTTTTAAAAACACGATTTACAACCTGAAGAGGTGATAAAGCGATAGATCTTTCAGCCCAATTCTACTTTTTCTGCATAATCCATCATACAAAATGTAATCAAATGGAAAAGTCTCTTTTTAAAACTTGTTTTATTAGTTTTAATCTTTTAACTTTATGCATCAAGCAAATATTAAATTATATGCAATATTCTCTGACTGGAAGAAATTTGTTTAATATTTAAACCTATTTTCTGCACATTCCAGCACATAAAATAAAATATGTTTTTTGTGTTTACACTCAGTCTTTCAAATAAATAAAATAAAGTGAAACACA